GCTCAGCACACAAGGCCGTAAGTGATACAAGATAGTGTATTTTACAGTGGTGTGTAAGCAGTTCCCCGGAGGTTCCCACTTGCCCATGTGACTATATGTATCTAATTTACATGTGACTCGGGGTTTGGGGCTATTGCCCTGACACCCAGAGAACAAGGGAAAAATCTCCTGGGAAAGTCTAGGCAAAGCCGCCTATCTAAAGTCCCAGTTCAAACCACTCAGGACTCCTGAGGAACAGGCCACAAGAACTGTGGAATGGGAAGCGAAAGCTTCCAAATACCGGGAAAGAGATGCAAGTCTCCACACTGGACAACCAGCCTAATGACCACCCTTCCCCACGGGAAGAACAGTAGACCTACCATACTCCACACCTGAGCCAACAGGAACACAACAACCCACTCCCACCCAGGGAGCGCCCACTTCGTCGAGCCCACAGCCCGACAATGTAGCCCAGGCTACATCATTGCATCCGATGCAGCAATCGGATGTCTGTTAGAATGGGCAGATTCGGACGACTCCGGAATGGAATTGGAGACTTAGCATGGAAGGACCTTGGCCTCTGTCAGGGCACACCCGCCTGACCCGGGCCCACCCGGACCCACCCGGCCACACCACACCCGCTCCCCACTGTCTATCCCCCTCCCCCCTCCTTCCTCCCTCTCCTCCCCTTTCTTTTCCCTCTTCTTTCCCCTTTCTTTATTTCATTCTTCTCATCTTCCTCTTCCTGTTTATTTCTTTCTATCTACATGGACCACCTTCCTTCATATCAATGTACTATTGACCCGTCCGGCCCACACACCCCAGACGGCTTCCCGCTGTGCCCAGCACACACGCATGCAGCAGACGCTCTTGGGATCCCCCATGGGGACACCCGGATGCCTGCAGCTGCCTCCGAGGATGACGTGGCACCTGTCATGTGACTCAAGCTGCATGTACATAAATGTACCTGAAGTGGGAACCGAAGAAGTAACCTTCTTCTCACATTCTCCACTTCAGCCTGAGTGGCCAGGGACCACTGTCCCGGATTGGGCCCACCAGTACGCACGCCCGCTCCACACCCTGCGACGGCCTCAGTGCCGGATATTACCCTGGGCCCTCTCGACCCCGGATGCGTCCCTGACAGCCTCAGCAACTCAGGCGGAGCGCTGTGCCATTGCTGGTTGTCCTGGGGGTCCCTAATTTTGGATCTAACAGAGGGAAAGTCTCTTGGGGGGAATTCAGGTCGATTTCAGACTGAGGTTACAAGTTACTATGTACATTGTATATAAGGAGGGGTCCGGAATCAAAAGGAGCAAGGGTACTCCAAAAGGAGACAAAGGGAGCTGGAAAGAGGAACGACACCGAGGGTCAAGGGTTTGACTCAATGGTGTTTCCCAAAGGAGGAGTGAAGGGCCAAGGCCCAAGGAGGAAGGAAGGAGGTTGGGAGTGGGGAATGGCTAGTTGACTGAATAGAAAGGAAGCAGCAGCCCAAATAGGAATGAGGGAGAATAGCGGAATTGAATGGAGCAATGCAATAGTTGCAAGGTCCGACATAAGTCCAGAAAGTCTGAATTCAGAAGTTAAACTCCAGAATATTGGCAAACATAATTAAATGGAATGAGCTAACCAATACAATGGGTATAAGCGGAGGTGGGGTCAAAGTCCGAGGTCGGAGCTAAGACCGGAGGTTCCGGAGATGGAGACGCAACGGGATTCCGGAGTGGAGGTCCGGAGTTGGGAGCATAGGTGTTGCATGCTCATCTGGAAGGTGTTGAGGTTGAGGTCGGAACTAGGATGTCCCAGAGTCGGACCAAAGGTGGTGTCGAAGCCGGAGGTGGGATAACCTCTTGGGAGTTGGCAAGGAGAAGGTGACGGAAGGGAAGTAGGGCTCCAGAATCAGTTTCGGAGTTCTGGGAGCCCGGAGCAGAGGTCAGGATTGTATGGATATGACAGTGTCCAGATGAACAACCCAGAGGAAAACCCTCCTCTGGGGCAATGACTCCACCCTTGAGAAAAGGGAAAGTGACATGGTAATACGCCATCGAGGCGCCCCTGAAAACACCTTCCCCCAACTCGAGGCCCCACACACAATACTGTATGTGAGGAACCGCAAGTAACAATTGCAGAAATCTCTACTCCGTCAAAAGACCCACACCCACCACCACTCATGTGTAAACACCACTTACACACGAACCCTCATGGAACAAGTGAGGAACACCAAAGACATACAACCTTTGGGTCGAAATTCATTTTCGACAAACTCCACTACTTTTCTCCCTGCGATACCCATGTATCGCCGTTCACTTCAAAGTGATGGCCCACAATCACTTATTCCTTAAACCCTTTCTCTCTCCTTCACCAACATGTACAAAAATCGCCCACTTTAAAGTGGCGACAACAAAACACTCATTGATAATTTCAAACTCAATGTAAATCAATCATTAAAACTTTGTTTTATTCACCATCAACCTTGTATGCATCGCAAATGCAATGCAAGGGGGGAGAATGTTAGGGCAATAGCCCTGAACCCCGAGCCACATGTAATTAGATACATATAGTCACGTGGGTAAGCGGGAACCTCTGGGTAACTGCTTACACACTACCGTAAAATACACACATTTGTATCACTTACGGCTCTGTGTGCTGAGCTACCCCAGAGACCTCACAATGACTAACCCCTCTGTCACCGGTATGCTCATACAAGCACCAAGTACCTGTTGACACGAACACAGACCGTTTGCCAAACGAACGGTCTTATACCCCGTTGCTGGTACGCCCATCTGGGCACCAAGTATCCATCAACCCAGCCTCAAGTAGCTCCCTCAAGGAGCTGGAATCTCATTCATTGCTGGTACACCCATCTGGGTGCCAAGTACCTGTCAACCCAATCTCAGGAAGCTCCCTCAAGGAGCTGTTATATCACTCACTACCAGTATGCTCCCTCGAGTGCCAAGTACCTGCTAAGGTAGACAACCTACACAAGTTATCACTATCCAGAAGCAATTCATTGCAAAATCTGCATCATGGCTCATTCCTTCCACAATGTTCTGGATGTGAATGTAGAGCCTGAAAGTTGCGAAATACAATGCTTTTAATTAGTTCTAGGTGACCAAATCTTAATATCTATAGTTATTATTAAATGAAATGGAAAATATCTCATGATGCTTAAATCGACCCTCCTCCTGCCCTTGGCCTTAGTTTTGCAGTTTTGAAAATATGAGAACACAAAAGTTTGCTGCCGTGAAGAAATAGAAATGAATTGCGGGATTTGCCGATCCCACAAAAGGAAACCAGCGCCTCGCTGCCCTTTTCCCCCCAAAGCACGCCCAGCATGCCTCCACACAAAAAGCGCCGTCATGCAAATAATTTGGGTGACTATTCCAAGAAGAAGGTGAAATAATTGAACCAAAGATGATTATTTAATGTCAGGGATGGCTCCAAAAGCGGCGAGGTCCCTGCGTGCGGGACTCGGTGGGACGAGTAGTGGCTGTCCGTAGCAGCGATCCCGTCACGGGGTGAGCGTCCCCAACCACTTAAGCTGAAGTGGGAAGTTGAGAAGAAGGCTGCTTCTTCTGTTCCCACCCCAGGCACTATTATATACATGTGGCCAGGGTCACGTGGAGGAAGCCACGTCATCTCCGCACACAGCCGCACCTCCCTGGGTGTCTCCGCAGGAGATCCCAGAGGTGGCCGCTCAGTAGGCGGGAGTGTGCGTGGCACGTGCGGCGATCAGGGGGGCAGGGTCAGGTATGTAGTAGTACATGGAGAAAGGGAAATCGACTGTAGAATAGAAATAGAAATAGAGATAGAGAGAAGGGGGAAAATGGGGGAGGGGAGACAGGGAGTGATAACGGGGTAGTGTGGTACGGTGCGGGGTGCGGTGCGGGGTCAGGCAGATGTGCCCTGACATTTAAGAATTAATGAACGTAAATTCACCCAGAAAACTCGACTCAGCTCCCCACCTAGACCCCAGCACACAGAACCTGCATTGGGATTTACACAAGATCATGCCACAATGGCATTTGACACTTCCTCGGATCCCGGAGATTTCAACTTTGAGCTGGAAAGCAACAGTGACAGAAGTCAGTGTGAAAATCCTGATGATCAAAACTTTGACAACACCGCTATTCCTCCCCCTCCCAACATCCCAATTTATGAGCGCTTGTGCAAAGCGCAAGAAACTCTGTCATGGCTCATCAATCAGCATGGCGCAATAGATGGGAATAAGGTCCGTTATGCAGGAGCCACAATCAATGGTACTCCAGCTGAACGGACCCGACGCCTACATGCAGCCCAGGAAAGAGCTATCAAAAACAAACTGCAGGGAATGCGCAGGGAGACAGCTATTGACAACAAGAAGCGAACTATACCTGACTTCTTTCAGCTTTGTGGATCCCACACTCACGCAGTGTCTGTAAGTCCGTGTTCAAGTCGCACATCCGAGTCCATAGATCTGGACTTTGTCTCCCCAACTTCAAACTCCATAAATCCTTGGACTACTGCTGATGGAAGGCCAGATTCAATGGACGATTTCCTATGCCATTCTGGTATGCCCCGGGCTGGACTGCCATCTGAAATGTTAGAGACAACATTGGAACGGGCCTGTTGCACCCCGGGTCCAGTGGAAACTCAGGCCTACCACTCACATCCTTTCATCCCTGCACCACCCAAGGAGGCTATGGAAGAGGCAGCTTAAAGGCTTGATGCAATAATCCGACCTCCCAGAAACACCAGTCAGGGTTATAAGTGCACCGGATTTGATGATTTTACACACCTGAGACTGGAACAGATGCTCCAGGTGCTCCATGTGTATAGTTCAAAGCAGGCAGGGCTGAATGGGAGGGAAGTGGGCTGGATTACTGCTTCAGAGTGGGTTGCAATGTCATGGAACCGAGGGCCAGCACATGCGTCACAGTTGCGGAAGTGGTGTCACGCGTTCATGGATGACTTTGAGACCATTCCGGCAAACCCATATGGGAAATGGAAGGAATCAATACTTGTCATGGATGAGGATATCAAACATGAAATTGAGGCACAGCCTAGGTCCATACATTTCTGCGATGGACATTGTTCGCTTCCTGAGTACACCAGAGATGCATTACCTTGCTTGCAAGGTCTCTTGCATGTCCACAATTCGTGGGAATTCTGCAAATGTATTGACCGCTTTTTTGCACGTGTCCTTTCCTCCGATGGATCTTTCTGGCTCATTTGTCCCGCAAACTCTGTAGCGCAAATTTAGGCCCCAAAGGTGCTGTGCACAAGATCCTCTGTAACCTAGGGTCACCATGACAATATGACATATAATTCGGACCACTTTCACTATCATACCGGTAAGGCAGGCCACCTGGCCCCTCTGCAAACAATCGATTGTTATCTTTGAGCGCTTGTAGCTAAAACTGTTACAACTATGTTAACTCAGACTTTAGACACCCAGTCGGCTCCTGTAAGTACGAGTTTGACTCACTGCGCATTCCTCTTCACTCATTATTCCAATCTCAGTTCGAAACTCACGCGCATCTCTCCAGACGCGATTGTATGCTCTAGAAACCTTTCTTATGTGCAATCCACACGTGTGCGACTCTCAGATGCGCGCCTGTGCTGATTAAGCCGTTCTCACTCAAAATTCACATGCCCGTGCGCACCTAGAAACGCGCGCTTGCACCTACTCCGCTTTCTTCTCTGTGTTCACGGCTCCCCAGGCTCAGACCCACGACTTTTGGGCCTTCCACACACATCTTCCACATCCCCCACCTGCTTTTTTGGCAACACACACGATATTTGCGCCTGCGCACGCTGAGAAACTCGTGCCAGCACATCCTAGTCCAGCCCCACGCGATATTCACGCGCTGATGGCACTCTACCTGTGTATTTGCCCTCTGACACACTCTCTCGCGCACGGCTGTGGAAACTCGCCATGTACTGGCTTGATGGTAGGGATCTCCCCCCGGATGATTCTGCCTCGGGGTGGTGAGGAATACTGGGAGACACCTGAACGCGATGAGGTGATAGAGAAGGCTCGCAATGCAATAGGAGTCCTTGCTGACAATCTCAAGGCTGCTGTTGTTTTGGGTGATCGCACGCGATGGTGGATTTCTGCATGTGAATATATCGATGCTGTCATTGGGATCGTGTGTCGCGAGGTTTTGTGGAGTTATAGGAACGAGGGTGTCGGGTATAACACATGTAAGGATGTGTTTGAGTGGCTGGATGCCATTTACGCTGAGTGGACTTCTATTCCTATGGTCCGCTTGTATGAGCTCGCACGCAAGCGCTATCTGAAGTCCCTTCCAACGGATCTCATTGTCCCTCTAGCCTTTGCCACATTTCGCCCATCCCTTTCCCCTCTTCCCCTTGATCTTGTGGCCGACGACGAGCCAGAATCGGATAAGAAAAACAAAGTACTTAGTGGGCTCTTGCCACCACAGGTGGCATCCACCAATCATATGCCAGTGTAAAGTGGGCACAAGACAACATGACACCAGTTGGTTTGATGGGGTATAAGAAGTGCAAAGTACATTCGTTTAATCGGATAAAGCTAGGGGAATGAAGAGCATTGGCAAAGCTAACTGGTGGCAGGTAATGGTGAATGTAGCGTGCTCATGGCAGACAAAGAGAAAAGGGAAAAGAACACCCGTGTGCAGAAAGATATTACCAGTTTGATGGAAAGATCGATGATGTTGGCAGAAAACATTCCCATTCCGCTAACTTCACATGCAAAAGCCTTATCATAAGCAAGGTCAGGGCCGCACAGCAGCCATTTCTAGTGAGCGATTGAACCGGGAGAAGCTGATATCAGTTCGAACAGCACAATGCTGGCTGCAAAGGATGGGTTACCGCTGGCAGAGGGAGAAGAAGGGGCAATACACAGATGGTCGTGAATGCAAGGATGTTGTCCAATATCGACAACAAGTGTTTCTGCCTGTGATGGCTGAGTATGAGAAATCGATGAGGAAATGGGATAATGAAGGCAAACAAGAAGGGGCCAATCTGCCTGCTGACCAACATGTCGTTGTCTGGTTCCACAATGAATCAATTTTCTATGCACATGATCGGAGAAAGGTTTGCTGGGTTCATGATTCCGAGTCAGCAAAGCCATATGCCAAAGGCAAAGGAGCATCACTTATGATCACTGACTTCATATCTGCTGACTATGGTTGGCTGAAAGGCAATAATTCCGATTCATGTGTCACACTCAAACCAGGGAAGAACAGAGATGGATATTTCTCCAATGAGGATGTCATCAAGCAAGCATCAAAGGCTATACAGATCCTGAAGGAGTGTTATCCAAATGACAAGCATGTCCTGGTTTTTGACAATGCATGGACCCACTCCAAGCGGGCTGATGATGCACTATCGGCAGCAAAGATGCCAAAATACCCTAAGCAATGGGGGGTATCTGTGAATGTATGCGATGAGAATGGGGCAACTATATATGGACCAAGTGGGAAACCTCGCACCACAACCAAAAGGATGGCCAACACAACTTGGAATGGTCAACCACAGCACCTTTATTATCCTGACAACCATCCCCAGTACCCTGGATACTTCAAGGGAATGGCTAAAATCTTGGAGGAACAGGGCTATACCCATTCCAATGGGCTTCCTGCTCAGTGCAGCGGATTCAAATGTCACAGCACAGCAGCTCAATGCTGTTGTCGCAATATTCTTTTCCATTCCAGCGATTTCATCAATGTCAAATGTCTTCTTCAGACACACTGTGAAGCAGCTGGGATTGATGTTTTATTTCTCCCCAAATTCCACCCTGAGCTTAATTTCCTTGAGCAAGCTTGGGGGTATTCAAAACGGGTTTATCATGAATTCCCACCCTCCTCAAAAATTGAAGATGTCGAAATCAATTCCAGGACAGCTTTAGAGTCAGTGCCAATAGTTTCAATACGAAGGTTCTTTTTTCATTTCAGCTTCCTTCCAACCACTAACAATATTTTTTAGGTTTGCAAACAAATCACTTCGGTACATGGAGGGTTACTGATGTGGCTTTGATGGCAGCATGGCAGCATGGGCAGTCAAAAAGTATAGAGGTCATCGCCAGCTACCAGCAGATGTGACACACAATATTGTCTGGGAATTAATGACTAGGAAAGAAGCTACATAGAACTACCTACAAGTTTGTACATGATGCACCAACCACGAGAAATGTTTGCTGCTCGTGACCTGCACTGCCACATCCGGCAATTTCCGACATAGTGATAACTTGTGTAAGTTGTCTACCTTAGCCTCTTGTCCTCAACTGGTCCAGTTTTGGATATCCCCTTTACTTGTGATCCTATACATCCGCACATGGTACACTCACGTAACAAGCGCCAAGTATCTGTTGCAGCAGACTCCCATTCACTGCGAGGTCCCAGCTTTCTGTCAAAAGCTCTAAGGCTATCGGACAATACTCATTACACAACTAGGCCACCCTACATACAGTACACGAGGTCGACAATTCCAAGTTGTCTATAAGGACAGAAAGAAATGGATTACCCATAACCCATTTCTTTAACATGGACTCAGTGTCACGACCGACAAATCCCGGGGCTCTGTCAGCGGTGAACCAATGCCGATAGGCAAATCCGCCGACCCGAAACCCATCCTAACCAGCCCCCAACCCCATGTCTGGCCCCCTGCCTTATTGTGTGAGACTTGGCCAAGAATCAGAACCTAGACCCTGCCGGTATTCCGACCTTACCTCCAGTTCCTGAGCCCTTGGCGCTCCCGGCATTCAGTCACACCTGCCTTGTCTCCATCTGAACCACACTCATCGCTTCCCGCTATGTGGTCACAGCCATGCCCCGCTTCCGTGCATTCACGGACTTGTGTCGGCACCGCACCGACCCCGCTTATTTGCGGACTTGTATCGGCGCCGTGCGCTGACCTCTGCTTTCCCTCTGGCCATTTGTCACTTGGCAGCTTATCATTCATTCCTTGCTGAGTGCCATTTATTGTTTGCTTCCCTGCCAATATCGGCATTTGATCCCCTCTTTATTGGCACTAGGTTATTGATCTCATTCAGTTATTCATCAATAACCCTTGCCACTTATTGTTTAGTGATCTGTTCCTCGTTTCCAGTTCCCGGGCTCTTGTCCTTATTTGGTTTGACAATCCCCGCTTATCTCCGCGCCGGACCGCACCGGACTGACCGGCCTTTCTATATTCCCTCTTGCCTATTTATATACCTTGTAAATACTTTTGGGGACCTCAGTCTGAAATCAACTAGAGTACCCCCCCTGTCTGGTCTGAGTCTCTCCTTCTGCAAAGGGGGCTTCCCCCCCTCTGAGTCCGTGCTTGTGGAGTCCGCGCTCCTCCTACAGGTCCGCTCCACCCGCAAGTCTTGTTTGAAGTCCGCTGTGAGTGTCAATCCGTAAATATGGGATCTCCCCCAAACGTCAAGCTCAGGGCACAGCGCTCCACCTGAGTCGCTGAGGCCGCAATCCCACTCTACTAACCTTGAACAGCACTTCCGGACGCGCTGCACATTTCCGCCCACATATCCGCACATGCGCTCCAACAGACCTCTGCATCACCTCCAACCTCGACTCAGACAGAAACCCATTCCATCTTCAGTCCATCGTCTATCTGTCTTCTGACAGTCTGCCAGACTCCAACAATATTCCCAGTCTCTGACAGCTTCCGAGATCTCTGACACTCAGGGTGGGAAGGCTAGTGTGGCTGTGGGGGAGTTGGCCAAGTGCAGGGGAGCCTAGGCCAAACAGGGAGGGTGAGCAGGGAGTCCTCAGGGAGGATAGGGATGAGGTCAGGGCTCATGCTCATGCTTGCACAGTGGGCATGGGCTCAGGTGGCATTGGGACAGGCAGCTAATGGGCTGGAATGCACAGCCATGACAGGTGATGCAGAAATACAAATAAACAAAGCCCTCCCTCCTGGGAAAAAATTACCATACAAAGAAATTTCCATTTCCAGAAGGTACCATAAAACAAGGAAAATTACCATACATGGTAATTTCTATAAGGGGAAATTTCTATACATGGAAATTACCATATATAGAAATAGAAATATCCCTTTATAGAAATTTATTGGGCTATCAAAAGGGAGCAAAAGTTTTTGGCCAAGGCTCATGCATGGGTAAGCATCCAAGATGCTATACAAAGATGTGGATCAGCACAATCCTGTCATATCCATGAATTCACTTCCATCAACCCATCTCTCTATTCCACCTTCCCTACCTCCATTTTCTGTAATCACCTCCAACATCCCCTATGGTCATCACCCCTTTAAAATAATATATTACCTATGCCACCCTAGTTTCAGACCCCCAAAGTCCTCTGGGCAGTTCCAATGTCCATGTCAGGGTTCACACATTAGTTCACAATAAAGAAGTCCCAAAAACCTAGTCATTGATACAGCTGAGTACCCTTCAGCAAACATAGAGTTTATATACACATGAGATGACATAAGCAGACATGTGTGAGATAACCAGAAGCTAAGTCAGCTAACAGTAGGCAGCAGGGCATGATAGGAGATAAAGGGGTGTCCAGATATAGGGGCAGCAGTGACATGGGGGAATGTGATGATGTACAACATGATAGGGGATATGTGGCTACATGCAGGTGCAGCTACATACAATAGGGGTATCAGAAGACCACTTACATATTGTCCCCTGACAGTCCACAAGTGCACTTCCATGCCCACTAGGCCATTCAGTTGCCTGCCCTTCAAGTCTGCTCTCAGCTCTCTCACCTTTATCCCTTTCTGGGTGACCAACTGCTTTTATAAGAATGGAGTCTCCTGCAATCATGTTGACTGAATGTCAACTGTAGTGGGCCCTTCTTATCCATCTCCTTTTCTTCCTTTATATTTCTCCCCATTCCCCCCCTTTCACACACCCAACCCATGCCAAGCTTTCCCCTATTGGGGTTTTGGTGCTGACCAGTATATTATTCTATTTGGTGAGACTCCTCACAATCTTTCTTATTCAATAGTGAGTGTCACATTCATGTATGGCCCCAAACCTGCAAGTTTTTGCCCAAGTACCTGCACAGATGACACCCAGGTATACTAACTCATGCTCAACCTTATCTACCATGATGTATTTGTTGACCAATTGACTATCTAGTGAGGCCTGAAGCAATGAGGTCTCACATACAAAAGGTGCATACATTCTATGTTGGCATATGGGCCAGTCCTTCCTCACAGGAACCCATTTTGAAAGGTCAGTTGAGGTTCTGACCTTGTTGAAAAGTGGAAATTCCAGAAATTTGGCCATTCACTTTTCATTGGATAGATTCTCTGAAAACCATGGTAATGGAGGAGTTATAGCACAATTTCAAACTCAGTCTTCAATATTCAAACTCAATTATTGTATAACTGGTGGATGCTGCCCAGAATGTATTGAATCTGAGTTGGATTGCATTGTTTTGAAACCATTTGGTGTTTGATTATGACTATTTGCTGATCTGCACTAAAATAATGGATGAAGCCCAGCCTTTGTCTTTTGTCTTAACACCAGAATCCACCAACTAGGACACAAGTAACTACCAGACTCAAGTGCTCTCTTCTCACTTATTATAGATTCTATTTTGGGTTAGGGAATGATGTAATAGACTAAATTTGCCTTTTTGCCCTCAGGAAATATTGCAGTTGGTCTGGGCTCTTATGTGCTGATTATTTTGGTAAGTTGTCATGAGTGCTTTTTGGAATGTTTGAATTTGAAACCAGTGGAAACCAGCAAGATCAGGGAGACTGAGGAAAGGGAGGATATTGTTTGTGCTCATGCTGGTTTCCTGTAAACACAATTGTCCCACTGAACAATATCTATGAGCTTATAGGTCAGCATCCTTGGACAGTGCTTCCAGAAACTTAAGGACACTTCACCTCAAAGAAAGTGTTATGGGCCAAGCATTTCAATCCTCTCCCAGTATGATAAACAAGTCACCAACTGTTGTACATGCCTTGTAGTTTCCTGACTTACAGACAAACTTCTACACCACTTCTGATACACCTCCCAGTAATGCCAATGATGTTATACAGGCATTGGGTCCTCAGTATCAGGAGATCCTGTGGAAAGGCAGGGTTGCTCTTGATGATCACAGCAGGGTGGTATGGGATAGGCATGCATATTTCATCCCTGGGCTCACTGCATGGAGTTTGTTCCACTCATGATGTTTGTGCTTCTC